TGATTTGAATGCAGCCGTTGGCAGACTTGTATGCTTCATCTAATGCGAAGCAGAGCTAGGATTTTGCGCTTGTATTCCACAGCTTCAGTGCATCCCCTACCGCTTTGCCTCCAGGGTGTAAAGCTTCTCCGACAGCTCGTCGAAGACACGCTTCCCTTCTTCGTGCACACGCTGCAGCGACTGCCGGCGCCTGCGCAGAGTCGCGACGAATGTGATACCTGCATAATACAATATAATATAATAGTGTCGAAATAGGATTTAACATGGTATACAACAATATAGTCTTACAATATAACCAACAGAGCAGAACCGAATGGAATGAAATAGCACACGGTAGTTAACAAGAGTGCATCAACTAGGTTCTATTTATGTTTTTAGTCTCCATCAGTAAATACAACAATATTTAAATTAAGTTAGCTTATACTGCGTTGCATCATATTATACTAATATACTGATATAATCATTTTCATATATTCATAGGTGAATAGGTTAATATACTAGTATATTAATCTAAAGGTATATCGGTATATTCGTACATTAACAAAATGCAACTTCCGTGTTTATTTTCTCAAGCTTTTCTTGGCGATGAAACGAGTTTTGGCTAGCAGTATGTGAATCCCTCCAGTCTTGCTGTCTGATTCGGGATACAACAAAAGCACTGCCGAACAAAACGGTCCCACTTCTCGTCGCCTACATGTTGTATATGATTTATTTCGAGCATCTATTGATGTATTCATTCATATCCAAGCGTCTTGCTAGCCAAGTCCAGAACCATCCAGAGCCCAGAGAAACCCAGCTCCAAACTCATGCCACACCCAAGCCAGCAACGCAACCCTCCGCCTCAAACCAGATTCTTCGTACCCCAACAACCCGCGAAAACCACGTACACACCTAAATTGAAGGTGTCGGAAGAATTGCCTGGATTCCCCATGCTCGGCCACTTGCTGGGAGTCGAGCAACTGCTCCATCTGTGCCACCAGGGCGCTGAAGTCTTATGCTCTAAAGCTTTGCAGCTCTCCTGTAATGACAGACCATTCCCGAAACCCTTTGTGTCATGTACCTTTTGGTTGCGTACTGCAGGGTTTGTAGGTCATTTTTTGACCTTTTAGCATACGCACGTACATCCATACAGGAGCGAAAACAAACATGCATACATACATGCATACGAACATGCCAAGCCATGCCATGAACACACAAATGCATGCATGCATACATACATGCATGATCATACAGAACCATTCATAGTAGTAGTAGTAGTAGTAGTAGTAGCAGCAGCAGCAGTAGTAGTAGTAGCAGTAGTAGTAGTAGCAGCAGCAGCAGTAGCAGCAGTGTAATCATACATAATGACCATGAACACACACATACATGCCTACATACATACATACATACATACATACATGCATGCATGCATGCAGGCGCACGTGCACTCACGCTGACATGTATAAATGGAAGAGCACATGGATCCCGGTCTCTGGCTATCGGCTCGCCGACCCCCCACCTTTCCAATGCTCGGCCGACCGAGCCGGGATCCTCTATATACATATGTATGTGTATATACATAATACATATATCTACATAGTGTACAAATACCTAGTACACACATATGTATACCTATATGATCTATATGTACAGATGCAGAGAGAAGGCGAGAGGGGTACGTGAGGTTATGCGTATGTGCACATGTATGTATATACAGATAGATAGGTAGATAGATAGAATATACAGACAGACAGACAGACAGATAGATAGATAATTAGATCGATAGATAGATACATACATAGATGGATAATGGATAGATAGGTAGATATTTGGCTCCCGCATGGCAAATCCCGAAGGATTCACATGGCAGGTGCCCAGACGGTCACATGGCTACTGGCTACAAGTCATCCCTGCCCTCCCGAAACAAGCAACCACAACCCGATAGAAGGAAAGATAGACAGATAATTAGACAGATAGATAGATAGATATGGATAGACAGATAAATAGACTAGATATGGGTACATATTGTTTTATGCATGATGGTCTGACGTATGCGTGCGGCGAGAGAGCGAGCGGGAGAGCGAGAAACCGAAGGTCCCGACGGCCTCCTGCGAGTGATTCAGCAGGATCCGAAGCTGGGCCGAAAGAAATCGGCACTGCCTGTCAAAGCGTTGTAAAGACTTAACTTGGCACGACGACTCAACGACATTTGTAATGGCGTGGCTGTTGATACAGTGATATACTACTGTATTCACATGTGCAGTTGCTTCTATAGTTCGCTCTGCAGTAACTCACTGGTAGACAGGGTGCTATTCGTCATATATCGCTCTCACAGTTGCAGTTAAGAACGTTGCCTCCCGCCGGGCTAGGACGAACCTACGACCTACGATAAGCTGTGCAGTTTTTGCGGTCGCATCGGCCGAAGCACACAGCGCGATAAGGGTCTGCAATCAAGCTCCAGGGTCACACGGTGAGTCAAGACGCCAGCAAGTGACTTATGATCGATACCCCATGCAAAATCGGACGGGGTCGTGCTTGCTCATCTAGCTTGTCAGAGCTTGGTTGCGCTCGGAATTTGACCGGTGCTTCTATATTGCAAAGAAGTAGTGAATGGATCCATGCCATGTTGCGAAAAGACTGCTATCGGTGCAGGCTGTGTTGAGGGATTCGAACATTCAACGAGCATGCATCCACTGATGCCTGTGAAATCGATACTGGTCTACGGCGTTTTCACTTTGTCATCCTGATGAACTTCTTCTCGTCCCAGTACTGCATATGCGGCGCACCCTTTAAAACCTTGGAGCCGGCATCCTTGCCCACCACCAAAATGTCTGTGAGCTTGGATACTGAGGAGGTGACTTTGGCCCCGGCCGCTTTTGCGATTGTCTTTGCAAGCCCACGCTTCAAAGTCAAAGCGCCTGTGAAGCAGAGGGTCTTGCCGGCTAGCTTCTGCTTTCCCAACGTAGACTTCATGGCTGTCTTCATGACGGCCTTCATGGCCACTGCCTTGGCCTTCGGCGTGGCCTTCGCCTTGGCGCGGGGGCCAGCCTTCCCTGGCTTGGTGGTGACTTTCGCCTTGCCTGTCACGTGGTAGCCTTTCTTTTCCTTGGAAACCTGTGACTTCTCCAAGAAGGCTATGGCAGCCGCAAAGTCTTTGTGCACCTTGGTACTGGTGGAGGGAACACCTCCGATCTTCCCAAAGGACACGACCGTAGTCTTATCCCACCGCGCACATTCCCAGAATTTCGAAGAGCCGCCGTCGGTGTATTCGCAGCGGACAGAATGCAGGGCGGCCATGGCGCTTTGCGGATTTCCAAACGAACCGGACACCTTGAGCCTTGCAGGGTTCTCTCCAGGTCAGTGTAAATAGGATGGAAGGGCTTCTGGCTTGACGACTTTGATCTCGCATAACCTAGCGCTTCAGGATTTAGGGCATCTGTTGCGTCTTTTTCCCCGGAGACGTCAGTCTCAAGTATAGGCTTCCGTCCGGAGAATGGAATTGAACCCTTTGATCTCCAGACCAAACTCATCAAGCGACCGGGGAGGAGGAACCGCTTGGCCTGTCTTGCATCATCTGCCGTGGGGACAAATCTTCATCCTCAAGTGCTCCAGAAAGGTCCTGTCAGACTCGACGGAATTGCGGCATGGACTTACCAGGCCGAGTAAAACACACTGTCCTGCTGGGCTGCGAGGATGCTGTCTCTCGCCTTGGCAGGTCCGCTTGCCACGTAAGATTCATGGCTGAGGAAGAAGCTGATGCCAAGTCGCGGCTCGGAGCTGTTTCAACTGATCCTGCTGGAGCTGCACCTGCCCACCGCAAGTGTTCTGACATTTCTGCCGTCCATGGCTTTCGGCCAACCTTCTCTTCGAGAGAGGCGACACGTTGACCTCCGAGCAGCTTGCACATTCTTGGCGGTAGAGGCAACTAAATAACATCGTGTCTGCCGCAGTTCCGCCAGCAATGGACACTCCTGTGTGCTGTTCAAGGCTTGCAGTGCCTGATGGCGCATCCGCCGAAGTAGTGGTCATCTGCCCCCTGCCGACTACACCACGGCAAATGAAAGTGGAGAGAGAGAGAGAGATAACACGAAGAAAAGTAAACACATAATGAGGCATCTCAACACATATACATGTATGAACATATATATATATTACATACACATATACCAACCATTCAAACGATGTGAGGCAGCAAAAGAAATATGCCGACAAATAGTTACAAACATGCAACACAATGTTACATACTCCAAGCCCGGAACCCATAGCCCTATAGCGCCAATCTTTTTTCGGAATCTGGCTACTACTCACCGGTCCAAAAAATAAAATCGCCACGAATGGGATGACGAACCAGAGGTAAAAAGCAAACGTCACCTCCATTCGTAGATGAATACCAATCATGAAGAGAAAGATCGTCGCAGCAAGGATGGCGAGATAGCACTCATCAACCATCACCAACAGAGCATCGGTGCAACAGGCATGGCAACTGCAATCCAAGGAAGATCTTGCCTGAGTTCAGCCTCGCGGCTTCTGCTTGCTGCGAGCTCCTGGAAAGCCAAATACGAAGCTTGTTCTCCTGCATCTTGTTACTTGTTGTTTCAACACATAGTCATACTCATTGAATCATCTCCATCAGCAGCATCGCAGGTCCAACATAAACCATGATCAGACCTAGCGCTCAATTGAACAATTTCCTGACGGATTTAATAACAGGACCCGAATGACTTCACACAAGCATTGGTCCGAAGTCATGCCGCACCACATCACCTGCCACCATGTGACAAAAGCAAGTAGTGAATTGTTTGTCTTGATCTGTTTGTAATTAATGCCGAACCAAGGAAAAAAGGAAAAGTCCCCGTTGCAATGAGTTACTAGTAAGAGACATCCGTGGGTGGAGGCACTTGCTTCCGCAGCATGCAAGTGGAGCAACCAAAGAGCAATCGATGGTCGTCGGCAGGTCTTTCGAACGATGCATTCGCTATTGATGGCGGCGATATTTCCACCGCCCTGCAGTCGCTCGGCACTCACTCGATGTCGATGACGGTGCTACCTGAGGCCTTCTTCGATTCATCCAGCACCTTCAGGGCACTCGCACGTCGAAGAGTCGTAGCGCTGCAAGCTCCCCTGGCCTTCCCCAGCAGGAAGAGTTCTCGCAGCACATCCTGGACCAGGGTGGAACGGGGCGTCTGCAGGCAAATTTAGGCCCCGCTTTCTTCCTTCCTTGACGTACCCGACTGACCCTTCATTGTGTCCTCCGTTTTGTTGCTGGGCTTCTTCTGCCGACTCCGCATCTGCATCAGCTTTGCCCGTGCGGAGGACTGGATGGAAGGCCCGGCCCTGGCAAAAGCAAGACGTGCAATCATGCGCAAATATAATATAATATGTATATATATATATGTGTGTGTGTATGTGTACATACATACATACATACATACAATTCATTAACAGATGCACTCAACATGGTCCAATGATACATGACAAGCGACCATGTCCCAAAATTCTCTCTCCATGCGAAGCTAACTCAACCGAATCATTCCAGGTGGCAGTTGCATCTCGACAAATTTCCAATATACAAACCGTTGACATCGCGCCATCAGTCCTATCTTAAATGTCCGCTTGATTGCCTCTCCCGCCCATTCTTGTTTAGCCATCGGGTGGTGAAGTGACCTAGATCGACTTACCTAAACCCTAAACCCGAAACCCTAAACCCTATAAACCCTAAACCCTAAACCTGTGATACTAACAACCTCCTGCCTGCTTGATCCCTGACCGGGCAGCAGCGAAGGCCGTTCCTGGCTGAGTTCGCAGAATGCCTAGAATCGACTGTCTTTAGCAGTGTAGCAGCCACGAGCTACAGCTACAGCTGTTGAACTTGCAACCCAAGGCAACAACCATCTTCTATGTACGCTTAGCCGGCTTAACCCATTCATCCAGGGAACTGCTGCAGCCGCCGCTGAGGATGAAGACCGTGCTGCCCCCAGATCTGGGATTCGTGTCTACATTGTCTATCTGCATGGACAGCTCAATGGCAAAGCCGATCTTGCCACACATATTACCCTGAAGTGAATTTCGAACGGGGCTCTGATCGGAGATCCGATTATGCCTAAATCCTGTATCCAGGAGACATGCCACTCACAAAACATCTAGCATTCGAGTCCACAGAATCCCAAACCTGACCTGTGACGGACATCCTCTTCCTGCAAACTTCACGTCCCCCGTCCTTTGGAGACTCCTTGGCCTTGGCTGGGCTCCTGCTTCGACTGCACCTCGAGACCCAGCGGCTAAGCTTAATCGGCCTGGGGCCGTCTCTGTTATGTGTCTGGGTATGCATCTCCGAGTAACATGTGGGTCCTGCTGGGTAGGGGAGATTTGTGCAGATTCAGCACGCTTAGTCTCACTACCCACCGCAACTCTGCGCCACAAATTCTCGCTGCCAAAGTGCACTTCTTTACATGCGCCAGTTCAAAGCCAGGCCCCCGTCCTGGCCTTCCTCGCACGTTCGATCTTCACAGCTGCCTGCGGTGCCTGCGCTGCCTGCTCTGTCTTTATGGCCGCCTCCTGGTAAGTAGCGCAGGGTGCACGGGAACGTTGGCTCTGGAAGCATGCACTGTTGTAACAGTAAGGACACAGCGACAATCAGCGACATCTTGAGGCACCTTTCGGCTTGCTTTCTCCAGCTCTTTTTGAAATTGCTGCGTCCACTTCGCAACCTCGGCACCGATTCGAACCCATTTGAAATACATGGGGAGGTCGTAATTATTACCATTACCCTTGGATTCTGAAATTATTCTGTGTCTGTCGTGCCACGACTTCATATGCCTGTACCCCAAAGTCTTTGGAGCATCGGACAATCCCAGCAGCCAATGCCCCTGCATCCACCATCGCCGGCTCGCAATAGCTCCGCAGCCCAGTGAGCGTGCCTGACATCTTCAACAAGCATGTGAAACTGGCCAGGCCAAACCGATCTACGTCTTGGGCAAGCCATGCTCGTAGGCAAGCTGACAGTCCCGGATTATTGTGGGGGGAGTTCTTTGCGGTCGATCGCACGTTGGTTAAGAAGCCTCCAATGCTCCTATGTCAAACAGACTCGTGATGGTACTTGGTCCCTGCTTGACCTGCTTGCGGAAGCTGATCCGGAAACCATGTCGGCGCCTGCGCCCGGCCCCGACTACTAGTAACTATAACAATGTTGGCTTGAACATGGTCCAAGCGACGTCCAATGCCAGTTGCCTTCAGGCAGTCCAGTGTCATTGGCAGCTCCTCGTGGCAGGGTCTGGTGTAAAGTGCCGCGCGATGCCGTGCGAAGTGATGCTGGGCCCTCTGAAAACCCAAGAGCTTTCCTAAAGCATAAAGCTGCTTCCTGTTCAGCAATGTTCTCGACGACGACACGAACAGTGACGAAAGAGTTCTCGAGCGACGACTGATGAGGGAGCGATCCACAACGCAGACGGGTTGGACTGCGGCCGAGGCTTTATCGCATGTCACCTCGCGGGACAAGAGGTTGAATCTTTTGAATGTGTAACTGTGTAACAGTTTCAAAGCTTCAACTGCTGCTCCGGATGTTTTCCTGCAGCTTGCATTCGCTGTCAACAGTGTTCTCGCCACGTTGCAGTGTATGGACCTCATCGCCCCAGGTACTCAATGCATTCAAATTGTGGCCTGCTGCCTTGTCAGGGGTGATTTTGGCTTTCCTGCCTTTCATCTGCGAGTGTGCTTCAGTTTCCACATTCTGACGCTTGCAAGTGGAAATTTTCTTGCTGTGGCCTGGACCTCAGGTCTCATAACCCTTCCCAGTGGTTCGTGATTCTTGACACGGTGCAAATGTCAAGTCCTCAAGAAGGGCGAGACACTCCAGGGCAACGGCCTCGTGCTGCCTCCACCAGTGCAACTTTGAGGTTGCGAATTTGCTAGCCACTTCTCGTTCTTCTCATGCAGCTTCTGTCTCACACGAAATAGTGGCAGAACTTTGCAGGAAGAATCTACACCATCTGACACGTCATGGGAACAAGTTGGCAGAGTGTAACATTAGCATCAGTAGCACAAGCTGTAAATTCTGCCAGCATCCAGAGCATCTGCTGACCCATGTTCCTCTACTCGACTGCCTCAGTGCTTCCGGTGGAGTGTCTCGGTTGAGCGCAGACTGTAGCCAGGAGCGGATCTCGGAGACACCTCAGAGAGGCAAAGACAACTTGTCACTAGGACTCCGAAGCTACCCCCAAGAAAAGCCACTGTGAAGCCAGTCTGCCTTTCAAGACTGCTTCGGTAGACTTCAGCCAGCCTTCAGCCCGTAGATACTAATACCGTCATGTAGACGATAGACCCTCATCTTCGATCTCCGCTTCAGCCGGGGAGCCGCCGCCCTGCACGAACGCCACTCCCGCCTCCGGTTGCCGCAGCACGCTCTCCCGCAGTATCATTGCAAACCTGTGCAGCGGTACATCTTCTTCTATGTGCATCTAACCGGCAAGTCTTCGTGGCACATGGGTTTGCTCCAAGACTCCACGTAGGGGACTGCTGATCAGAGTGGTTCTTGACTGCGGTTTGTCAGGCCCGGGCATGGTTTTCGGATTCCCCTTCTTTGCTCCTGGCTACCGCTTGCAAAACTTGAGCTTCAACTGTACAACTGCAACGAGGCCGCCAAGCAGCCTTAGGCGGTGGGAGGTTTGTGCCGTTTTGGACCTGCACCAAGGCATCCTCTTTCAACACCACACGAGTACTGTCGCACTGAACTGAAACACAAGACTTCACCTGTTGGACTGGTGGATTGGCTGTCACATGGTTTTTCGACTCATCGTCGTCGTTGACGACAGCACACAACGGAAAAGAAGCCGAGCAAGCTGATTCTTCCTTGGCCAAGACACATCCCAGCTATGGCATGGCCGATGTTTGAGAGTGGGATGAACCCATCGGAGTGCCTCACAAACACGGTGAGCTAAACACAAGAGTTTGCACGACTGGTACAGTGCTGAAGCTGCTGCCAGTATAATTTATGTGAACTGAATCAGCGAAGCCGTTGACAGCAGGGGCAGAAAGGGAAACACCCCCTCCTTGAAGGATGAGTTGCACCCCGCAAACGCTGAGGGTTGCCGAGTCCGAGGTGCTGGAAGGAGCCGACGGGGCCCAGCCTGGCTTCGGCCTCGATCTGCTCCAGGGCCTGAAGTCTCGGGAGCCCAAGAGACTCGCAGAAACTTCCGAGAGCCTCGCCTCGTCCATTGCGTTGCCGACGCTGCTCCATCTTTGGCGAAGGTGCTCACGCGCCTCCTGACAGGGAAGATCCGTCTATACACTTGAGGACGCCGCAGGCCTCCTTTCTCGGTTATCGTCGAGGTTTTAGGCCAAGGCGTCGCTGTATTTAGGATCTTTTGTCCCACCAAGCTGAAAATCAAAAAGTACTAGAAACTGAAAGATCGAAGATTTAGGTTGTGCCGTCAAGCCAAGTTTGCTTCAGTTCCAGAACCTCCTAGTCCTAGTTCACACCCTTGATAACAACAGCTTCCTAGCCCGTTGCAATCTGATTAGCTTGAAAACGGTGCTTGTAGTATGCACATGCAACTCCATGAGCTCCCATACTTAGGTTCGCAGTCAGTAAATTCGTCCAGCTGTTTTCATGCGTTTGCTCCTCTTCGTTGCTGCAGTCAAAGGCACGGAAGCTCGAAGTGCTCCAAAATGTAAGATCCCATAATTCAGGGATCCATTCTCGGGCCCCCTACGGTCTGAAGTCAAAGCTTCGCAACTTTCCAGACTGTGCTGCAACAAGAACAGCCGAAGAGTCAGCAGCCGGCGTCACGGCGTCTACAAAAATTGAGGGAGTGTGAAAAGCCCCCAACCGTCTGGTTGACCCTCACCAACTACGTCTGATTTTACTCTGAGTTAGCTTTGCAGAAAATCGGCATCATCGGTTTCCAATGTCAGAGGCGTGTGGTATCGGAATGTGCGGATTTGTGCAGACATGCAGGTCAAACGCCCGAGGGTGATTTCCAGAATCGAATCAGCCTTCAAGTTCCATCCCTTCGCAGCCGACTCAACCTCTTGGAGCTATGGGTACCATATTGCAGTACATGATCGCCTTTAATGCAGCTTTGCTCTGCCAAATTAAACGGTAGAGCAACCGTGCATCACAACCAGCTGTGAGGGCTTTACCATGGGGAGTAGGTGCTTCGTCTTCCGAAGGGCGCAGCAGAGGCCGGGTAACAAAATATGATATTGAATTCCGATGCCTCCGGCTGTGACAGCGCAACATAGGCCCATTCCCTCATGAAAGATGCGGCCGAGGTGCTTCCTTGGAGGGCTGTTGGGACTGCAATCGTCGACTCCGGTACCCAGGTGGCAGCTCCGCGTCTGGAGGCCTTGGGATGCCGGGTAACCTATTTTACAGCCGTTCTGATCCATCTTCTTGTGCTGACTGTCTATATTTTTTGCTGGGAAGTTGCGATGCGGGCTCGCCGTCTCTTTAAATTCCCGTTCGCTCTCGTACAAGCAAACCTGCGACTAAATTCCTTGTTCACTAGCTAGAGCCGTGACGAATGGCCAGTACTCGGCGGAAAGGTTGTGCTTGCAAACACTTGTAATTGGTACTAGCTTACTAGCTACTAAGCCACTAGTTACTGCTTTGCTCAGCCCAAGAAAAGCCTGCACAGGTTTAGACTGGGCGCATGCATCAACTCTCTGAGCATCTGTCTGACATGCTCTCGCTTCGGGTCACGTAGGATGGAGGGCAAAGGCTGGGCTGATTCTTGCAACATGCCGTGATGGCCGCACCTGGTTCTGCCACAACCGCCAGTGCCGGGCCCAGCAACAGTGCTTGCAAAGGCCAGCCAGGAAACACACAAACACATGCGACATTATAACCAATCAGTTGTGGCGAGTACGTAAATGACAGTGAATGCGTGGGTGTGGGAACCGGGATATCCCAAGTGCGCTTGCCACTGGCTTGAATCATACTTGCGAGCCTGCCCACATCGCCTCATTAGCACCGCAGTCAGCTTGGGCCAGAGCCCCTCTTCCGGCTGCTTCCTCTTTGCGCGGTTCCTCTGCCTTTGGGCTTCCGGCCTGTTTGGATGCTTAGGCTTGCATGAAGCGCACATCCCTTCGAGTCAGACCTTTGAACCGTTGCAATCCCGAAAAGGTGACCTCATGTCTCAAGCCATCTGCACCGATCGCATGCCTCTTGCCCATTGTTCCGGCCTCTGAGGCTCATCCGGCAGCACATCCGGCAGCACGCCTGCTGCAGGCTCTTCTGGCTGTGCCTTGCGGGGCCTTGGCCAAGCAGAGATGGCGAGCACGGTGCACTTCACAGCGCCACGGTTCCCGGCCTTCCCGACCTCTTCGCGTGTTTAGCCTCTGGCTCTTCCTTTGGCCCGAGGGCGGTCTTTGCTCGCAGCCGTGTTTTGACGTTTCCTGAGCCGGTTGCAATCTCGGAAATGCAGACGGGAGGACCGCTCGCGCGCAGCTGCAGACATCCACCCGGGCCCCCGGAAGCGTCTGACTGCTGCATTGCCGAACGCTCAAGAATATAGGCACAGCATAGGCATAGACGGGCTCAACAGCTTAGCTCGCCCAAGACGGGCAGAGATAAGCACGACACACGGAGACCGGCAGAGAGACACACCACTCCGCACACCGCAACCTCAACGGGTCCACCTAAGATTCCTTCTGTGCTTTCTGCTCGGCAGTTTGGCCTGAGCCATCCCGACAGAGTCCTAATGCACAGCTTGGGTGTGGCTCCGGCCCAACACAAGAAGATGTGAAGAGTGCTCGGATTGTTTGAGGGACAGCGGATGTCCTCCGAATATAAGGAATTCCGAATCCAAAGATCTGGGCAGGGAAGGCCCATCGACATCTTTGGCAGCTGCTTTCGCTCCAGTCGCGCCTTCGGCAGCCACTCAGCCACACGACTAGACTAGAATTCATCCACATTCACGTCTCCCCGCAGCACACCGTCACAAACTTCGGAAGTTTCCCCAAACCCTCACCCAAAGATGCAGCCTGTCACGGCAGCCCTCTCGAACTGCTCCAACCTCAGGGCCAGGGCAGCCAGTGCCAACCAGTCTTGAAGGCACGAAGAAACTGGGGATCCGTGTCGGGTCTGCCCTGTCCCCTGCCTGCCCGGCGGCATCGGCCCATCGACCATCCCGTAGATCAGGCCCGTCACGCTGGCAGCTCTCCTAGACGGCTCACATCAGAAATCTCGGCCTTTGAAAGCCCCTGAAAGAAAAACCCCAAAAGCCTCAAAGGAAAGAGCAGAAAGGCGCCTCATACATTTGTAGCAGAGATCGCAGCCATCTTCCCGAGGCTCTGAGCACTGTCCACCCTGGCAACGCAAATGCATCAGCAATCGATAGAAGACTTTTTGAAGCCATCATGGCAGGAAAGGCACAAGAGCCGTTGAGAGTTGAGACACCTTCGAACTAAATTCCACATCAACTCGCATTGGACTTCGACTCTTCTGGCAGGAAATCTTGCAGAGAAGTGCAGAACAGGAAGGCATCTTTGCCTTGCCCTCGTTCCATGTCCGAGCCATGCACAAGCGCAGGTCCTTGGCAGCAAGATGCATCGCGGGCACCCGTTTTTCTTGCCACGGGCGATGCATGAATGCTCGAGCGTATGCATCATTGCTGATCGCATACTACATAATGCTACGTTGCAAACCCTGCATACCGTCACTCCCCTGCCGAAGCAAAATCCTCCCACTGATTGCGATGATGGCGCGATGACTTTGGGAGAGAAGATCTTCCACGGTTCTGGACCATGCAGCACCTACGAGGCGTCATTTCCGATGTCGACCTGGCCTCATGTGGTGAAGCATCGCCTGTGTCTGTGCATGTATGCAGAACTGTACTCATGTTCGTACGTATTTACGTGCACAGGTATGGACAAAAGCAGAATATGTATGTATGTATGTCTGTATGTATGTATGTATGTATGCATGTATGTATGTATGTATGTATGTATGAAAATGTCTATGTGTGTATGAAAATGTGTATGTATGTATGTATGTAGGTAGGTAGGTAGGTAGGTAGGTAGGCAGGTGGGTGGGTAGGTAGGTGGGTGGGTACGAGTGTATGTATGTGTATGCAGGCATGCATGCGTGCATGTATGTGTGTGTGTATATATGCACACACAAATACACATGTATGTTGATATAAAGATGTACGCATATAATCAATTAAGCAAATAAGCAATGAGCAAATAAACAAGTATATCTAAACAACTCTTTGTATCCGTACATGCATTCTATTCATACAGATGCACCTGAACATGGCCCTGCCTGTCGACCTTCCTGCCACAGTCGTTCGTGATGTCAGCACCGACAAGATAGAAAGGACCGTGTAGAAATGGATAATTTTACACGGAGACGTACATAAAGGTAGCAGGTTCTGTCTCTATCCACGGGAAAGGTCATGTGGGCGTCCGTCGCAGCAAGCCCCTGTGGAGCCTTCTGTAACGGTTCAGCCGGCGCGGCCTCTTGTGCTGCTGGCTCCTCCAGGAACCACAAGGCATACTTCTGGACAGCAGCCTAGATCTCAAAGGGCCGTTGGCACGTCCAGGCCTCGGCAGGTGCTGCTGCTGCGGCAGGGGCTGCTGATTTTGCGGCTGCCCGCTGCCAGACCTCGTATTCAAAGTTGGGAGGGCCTCGATTCCCTAGCTTGTTCTTGGCAGTGCTTGCACAATCGGCTGCGGAAGACGGGAGCGGGAGTGTTCCGTTGTCGCAGCACAGTTCTATTCCAGACTCAGACTTGCACACACTTGCATACATATGTACCTTGGGGTCGAGAATGTTGTAAAGCCAGAGTAGAATGGCACGATTCATGTTGAAGAAATCGTGCAAAATCTTTCCGGCCAAAGCCCCGAGGTCTCGGCATCTCTCTGCAGACTTGCCATGAGGAAGGCCATTCCTCAAAGCCATGTTATTGCACTTACTGGAAGCCTTGAGATGTGCTTGATCGTTGTTGCCACCGTGCCATAAGTCCTCTCCGTTGCACTCTTGCTGAACTATGAATAGTGCGCCCCAAGGTGCGCCAGCTGCCCCACGATCGGGCGCCGAACCATCTACTTTCGGCTTTGTTCTTACCTGCTTAGGGCAGCTTGGGCAGATTCGTGCAAGGGCAACTGGCCCGCAAACTCCAACCCTTCGTCCGACCTTCGATGGCCTGGCGCGTAGTCCTCCATCCCGCACCCTTGTCATCACTCCAGTTGATCAGAAATTCGAGGGAGATGGCAGCCTCTCCTCCTGAAGCGTCGTAACCGGCTTGCGCGAGTTCATCATGATTCGACTGCACTCTGTAGCCTTGATATAGCCTCAGGTACAAAGGTCAAGTGTCCTGGCAGCTCTTCTTCGCGTATTCCAGGGTTGTCTGGATCAGGGTGCCTGCAATTCCAGATTGGCGCATGTTGGCCTGTAGTCCGATGGTTGAAGTCGGAAAGCAACTCGAATCTTCCCCCAACCATTTCAAGCCAAAAGTGAAAGGCACCTCGCCGGCGCAGCCTCCTTTGGAAAGAGTGATTTCAGATCCTCGGGATGTCAAGTAATGGCTTGCTTGGGTGCTGCCACAATGCTTTTGCTTTGAAGCGTTTTGCATCTGGTGGAAGGCAGTGGGGGATCAAACAGGCATCTAACAGGGCCACAGGTGAAAACTAAGCAATACAGAGTGTCCCGATCATAAAACAGCCTGGTTGGTTAAGAAGTGCGTATCAACCGCTGCTTGGTCCATTTGCATACAAAAGCTCAACAACAAGAGGTTCTTTGCAATGTCTTGCAAAACGTACTGCGTAAACACGCATGGAGCAGATCTCGTAGAAAGTGCTCTTGGAAAGCGAACGAATTCTTGGGCTAAGCCATCTTGAACTATTGCGCCGTTGACTTGCATCTTGAATGGCTGCCTGCTTTTTCGTTCGAGAATCAATCTTGGAAGACGTGATTGAATATGTGGTGTCTACCTACTGAAACAAGCTTTGTCCGCCGAATCACAAAAATAGCTGGATAATGATGATCAAGGCGGCTGTGTAGACATGTGCAGACTGTAAAGATTCTAGATGCCGTTCATGTCGATCATGCGGCAAAACAGACCAAGTCGAAGCAGAACACGCATTGCCCGAAGTTCGATCGGAAAGAACAGACATGCCTATACACACAAGTTGCTGTGAGGGATTCCACGGATGGCGACTTTCAAGATCCCAGCTGGTTGAATCGAAGTGCAAGGCTTCTGTCGTGCCAGAGTAGCATGTGGAACAATCCTGTATGCTGCTTTGCCAGACCAAGCAAAGCTGACCAAATCACAGCAGTATACACAATGCCACATTGCCCGAATTTCAATAGGAATGCAACATGCCTGCACAAATACGTTAAGTTACCGCGTTCAAAGACGTTAAGCGAGATTGGCCACACAATGAAATTATCAACAGGCAGACTCGGTGAACTGAAATACGACTGCCTTGGTGCGATAGTTGACCCACTATGAGTTGGGCTATCCTGAGGGCTGCATCATGGCAGCGAGCGGGTGTAGATTGATCCTCTTAAGTAAACCTTTCGATTCGCAAAACAATTCAATTAGCTCAATTTGGCGAATCCAATGCAACTAAAATATTGCAGCAGCCGGTGCAACCAATGCGAAAAACAAATAGGTGTGGGTGTACAGTGGACCATGCTTCGAGAGAATAGCCTTTGCTGCTTGTCCCTCCTGTAGGTCACGTGCTGACGGCATGCAAATGGAATGTGTAATGAACCTCAACCCTCCCTCCCTCCCTCCTTGCCCCCCTCCCCCACTCAAAGGAGGGAGGGCTGGGGAAGGAGGGAGAGGACGGCGAATTCACATGCACACTGCTCCGGCAGCAATCTTTGCTAACCAGGACGAAAACGGCATATCCATGAGAGTCGGGCCATGTATGTGTATGTGTGTGTATATATATATACATATATATATACACACATCTATACATATATGCATGCATGCATGTATGTATGTATGTATGCATGTGTGTGTATGTTGCAATTGTCTGCACAGCACTGGTATTGCGGAGTTAAAACGCTGCTATGCTATCGACTGTTGCTACCGTGAAATTGGAGTGTCTTCGCTTTGCCAACTATGTGGAAGCTTGGACAGACGCATCCATCACTCGGCACCTCGAGTCTACCGCTGCTTCGAAACAGATCCAACATCAAGCGACCAAAGATCTGCAATCTAGTTGGTTGTCAATGTTACAACCTTGATGGCTCTACTGATGACCCACTCAGGATCACCCTTGGCATCCCTCGGGGCTAAAGGGGCTCGCGGAATGCCGAAGCCTCACATCACCCTTGTCATGGAAGACCCTACTGCATCTGTCAAATTCCAGAAATCAATAGCCGCATCCTCTTGTTGCAGCGAGCTGTTGGGCGAGTTTTAGATCAGTTGAAGACGTGAATCCCCGTGAAACGAGATGTCCTGCAAGCTTGTTGACCCGCCAAAACTACTCAGTGCGGCCACGCCGCCGAGTAAGCGCTGAGCTTGAGACGTGATTGCGCATCACAAACAGCTCCTCACAACCCAGGCGGCTGTGCGTCTATGTCACAAATTCATGACTTTTCTGTGACCTGCTGCTGCAATATACTGATTGCATCCGCAGGCTTTTGGTGCCTTCGGGAGTAAGGCGTGCTTCGTCTGGATCTGGCGGCCATGAATACTTGCCACCTGAGGAGTTGCGTGAACTTCTGGTTCCGTTCCGTACACACAGGGGAGTTCGTTGACCCCAAGCCTACTAACCTCCAATGTTGCCCACTGAGACAGCGAAGCATGCATGACAGGGTGTAACTATCAGGAGAAACAGGCTGTGAGAGAATCCTGGGCTTCTTGACGTGCCTGTGCTGCCTATGCTTCTACAAGAACAGGCTGGTAAGCATACTGCCCATGCCTCCTCCGAAGTTCTCGACTTCCCACCGTGCCAACTCTAGCTTTCGAAGTTGTATCTTGGTCAGTCTTTGCCACCATGACAGCGGAATCTGCTACCAAAAGGCGTGCTTGTGCTCCGCCATCAGCTTCCGCATCTGCACCTGCCACGGCCGACATCGGCCGACGAATAATCATAACGAAACTCGATTAACGGTGCCTCGACCCTCACTTCAGTTCTCCGTCATTGTTGTCACCCCCCTTTGGCAAACTTGCAGCAGCTCCCGGGACCAACGAGTTGCCAAGATGCACCAAGTTAAAAAAAAGGGGTCATCACCTTTGGGTTGCGTGGGCCTCGGTAGGGATCCTCGTATTTACGTGGTCTTCTGGGGCCTTCATGTCAGGTTCTGCAACCTCTGGCCAACAATCGCAGGCCTGCTTCCGAGCGCGAACGTGCGCGTTTACGGCCTCCGCCTGCAGTCGTCGTAGACAGCATGCAGGGTACACGGACCCTGTAGCTCTGGAAGAGCAAGTGCTCCAGCAATGATGCGGCTGTGAGTTCGTCTGCCTCGTCTTGCCTACAAAGACGAGGCGATCTCGATTAAAAATGGTGAAGCCTCAAAGATCCAAAAGGACCCTGGCCAAGCGCCTGAATCGGCCGCTGGTTCCTTGGGCTCCGGTGGCTTTGCATCGGCTTTCGAGCGCTGCGCTGACTTGCCGCTCGCCTGACACTGATCGCCAAGAGACGAACTTCGCAGATCACAACCACTCTGCTCGCCACATAATTATGAGCCCTACAAGGCTACAAGGCCTAAGTCTACCTAAGTACTGATCCCTGGCTCTTTCTGAGCAAGGCGCTGCTTCGACTGCTTCTTTCTTCTGCGGCATTGCCGCCTCTTTCTTACCTGGCACGATCGGAGTCCGAAAGCTCAAACTTGCCATGCTGATGCGGAAAGGCACCGAAGTCGTGGTGGTGATGGTGGTGGTGCTCGGGCGAGCAGCAATGGTAATTAGGGGTATGAGGAGTTACACTGAGAATAGGAATAGGCGTGGGAGTGGTAGTAGTCGTCTTCGACCGAAAACGGGTTTGAGTAGAACTCGCCACCGCTCACAAGCACAACGCTGCTGCTGTTACGGCTAGTGCAATCACTGCCACCGCCCCCACCACGACCACGACTACTTCTACCCAGTATTTCAACAGTACTACCGTCGTACTACAACATTCTAGTATAATATAGTAGTAGTAGTAGTAGTAGCAGCAGCAGCAGTAGTAGTAGTAGTAGTCGTCGTAGCGGTAGCGGTAGCGGTAGCGGTAGTGGTAGTGGCAGTGGCAGTAGTAGTAGTAGTAGTAGCAGCAGCAGCAGCAGCAGCAGCAGCAGTAGCAGTGGTGGCAGTAGCTGTAGTAGCAGCAGTAGTACTGGTACTGGTAGTGGTAGTGGTAGTAG